CTAATGTTAGCATCTTACTTGGCATTACAAAGTGCAGAAAACGGTTTTGGTAGAAGGTGATGCTAATAATTATACTGAAAAGATGCAATTAAGTAACCTATACAAGTTTCATATAAATGGTAGTCTAGCTCTTTTCTTTTTTTTTTTTTTCTTCTGAAATACGCATGCAGCAATTTGATGAAAATGATGACTAAAATGACAACAATTGAATTTTTCCTTAACTTGCAGTCGACAACGTAGACTTTTTCGAAAAACCAAAGGGAGTTAACATCGTCGTTGTTTTTTCATTTTTTACTATTCTTTTGTTAATAGAGCAAAACAATGTTTGGTTGTGAAAAAGCGACTGATATATAAATTACTGAGGAAGTGGTAGTCGCACTAAAATCATTTTACAGATGTATACAAAATTTTTAAGTGTTCATTTTTTTCTTTTACAAGTCAAATTTAATCAACGATGATAAAGGCGATTAGTTGACATTTCTAAAGCTGCTTTTGTTAATTTAGAAAAGTAAAAAATTTTTAATTCATTAGAAATGTTTAATATTATCGAATGAAGATTAGCCGTGAACTCAGTGCTAACAGTCAGAAAAAGATAAAAATAATTGTGTAGTAAAAAGTACTCATTCTCCGTATTTGACGCTCAAACATCACAATTTTTAAGTGTTCTCAACACTGCCGAGTCAAAACTAGCTGATTAGAACCGAACGTGTACTGAATTGATTTACGTAAGTGAAAAATCTTCACATTAACACTAACAACAATTAATGTTAGAGAGGTAATTTTGGTTTTGATCAAAAATCAATAAAGAAGAAGCTTAATTAAAAAAACTGTACGCACTTTTTGGTAACTGTCGTTAGTTTTTACAGATTAAAGCTGCTTTCTGCTACAAATATATCAAAAACATTAGCAAATAAAAAATTTTATCTTTCTTGTAGAAATTAAACTTGTACTAAAACTTTTTTTCGTAGAAAATTTGATAATCAGATTGGATATACTCATACAAAAAGCAACGCCTGCCAAGCGTACAATTTGATACCGGTGCTAAAACAGCTAGCAAGATTTTTGTTCTGTTCCAATAAAATAGACAACAAGACTTTCTGAAATAACACAAGAAGATAGTAGATAGCGAGAGTGGGAATTACAAAATCTTAGTAAATTAATAGACCGAAGTAAGGTCCAAGATTATTTTTACAACTTTATTTTTCTTTTATACAGTTTCTTATTTTAAAGATCACTTAACAAAAGATAAAAATAAATTAATTATAGCTTAAGTGCTTTTTACAAGTATATTATTCTTCACATTTTTATAATAATTATCCACGGTTAGTACAATCATTCATTACATCTTCCCGATCTCTTACCATAATAACTTGTATGTTTCTGGTGGTAAATATCCATTAGCAATCTTGAATTTTAAATATTTGATTATAACCAAAACTTTATAGTATAATAAAGTTATTTATACTACAATTTTTCAAGGTTTGGGATATTCTACAACAGTTATCTAACCGGAGGTTGCTCAGCTTTCTCCTTTATTTCTTCTAATAAATCTGTATTTTACAATTCCAAACCATTCTCGTTTATTGCCCTCTTTTGTTACTCATCAAATCTCTGTCTCTTATCTTTTCGTAGACCATCTACTCACTCTTTCGTTTTTTCGTTTCTCTCTTTAGCGGCATAGTGACTTTCACTTGTTAAAATACCAAATGAACGCTGTATTTTGCCAGCACTGAACTTTCTCCTTCTGTTAAAATTTTTTGATAGATTATTGCTGCAAGAAGCTTTGTATCGTTGTCGCCCCCAGTGAGGTCTCGTTAAACAAGTAAAGTCTAGAATACCTGGAGAAAATACTAAAAATGCAAAAAAATTTTCTGACAATAGTCACTTCTTCCAAGCAGTTATTAATGTTCTATTCAGTCGTTGTCATTTTAGTCATCATTTTCATAAAAAACTAGAAAATTGAGCGTATCCTTAGATTGAACTGTTGTACAACGCATAACGTCATCATTTTTGGGTTTTCATAAAGTTGTAATTTTTATAAAAAAAAAACATCTTTTTATCTTCCCTCCTATACCCTTTTTTTACCCATTAGCAAAAAAATTGAAGCAATCCCTTTTATAACTTTTTCTTTTTTGATTTTTATTCTCAATGCATACTTCAAATAATTTTTTCACTCAGGCTGGGAAAATAAAAGCTGTTTGAAAAACGCTTAAAATGCACACGGTTGCCATACATTACAGCGCTAAAAATACACCGTATAATTTCAAAAAAATAGTAAAGAAAGTGTTTATTGTGAATTGTCAATGCATTAAAAAACATTCAGCTACCAAACGTTTTTTTCCTGCTTTTTCTTTTTAGCTTCACAACGCCCGTTAAAAGTATTTATGAGTCATAATATACACTCACGATGACCCTAATTTATTATTTTGTAGTGCACTTATCTGAAAGATATTCAACAGGCAACAGAAAAAATGTTCAAAAGTCTTAAAGTCATTAAAAATTTTTATTTAAACAAAAAAAAAAAAAAA